CACAGCAAAAAACAATGCATTCAAATTATTTTTAATGATCTCGTTAACAGAGAGCGTAATTCAATATGACTGTTCAGTCGAGGGTCAAGCGAGTCTGCCTCGACGAGCGTTACTTGTTTTTATTTACTATGAAAAACTGATTTCAATAAAATAATCATCGTTTCGCATTTGAACAACTCATTGATAGCGTTGTGCTTGAAGATGAATTCGAAAGATATTTTCAACAACATTTAACATTTGAAAAATTGCTTTACTAAACGAAAAAGTAACTCGATATTTTGTGAACAGAACTTTTGCTCATTGAAGAAGATCAACATGTGTTGATTGGTGATTGAAAGATCTTTTTCAAATAATAAAACAAGCATTCGGGATAATGATGAAAAATACAACCATAAAATAAAATATAGAAACTTTTCATACTATGTGCGAAAGATTTGTCCTTTTCTGATTGAATTCTTATGTGAATATTATCATCATGAATTAGTTGATTTTGATGATTAAAGAATAATAAATCATGTCCTATGTAAAAAAAAGTATCACTTTTGACCATTAAAATCGGTTACTTTGTATAAAAATCGATTAAAAACAGCAAATATTGATTCTTTTTCATTAATTAATCGGTTATAAATGATTTTACTAGGAAAAATCTATTTCAGTTTCTGTTTTGGCGGTTTGTAGCAATGTTCGAAAGCGCAACATCTACGAAACGATCACGGTTTTTAATTTGATTGACATGATGCTTTCTCAACTTTAACATCAGGTAATACTAGATGACTTTTAATGTTTAACAAGACATTCATAGTGGCATATCGTTTTATGAAATGCCGTTTTTGTTCTCTATAAAATTGTTTTACAAAGACTGTTATTGGATACTTGACAGCAATGTGCGTAAGTCATGTTTCAATATGAAAATATTTCTGATAGAAAAAAATTGTTAAAACAAGGCTAGACAAATAACATATGCGTAGATAGAATGCTCAACTATTATCTTTCGTAATTGAATGGCTTTGTTTGTGTTAATTATCAACAACTGGAGTTTTCCGCGAATTTCGTCTCATAGATTTAACAATACTACGGAGTAAAATTGACATAAACAATAAACGAAGATGCTTATCATATCTTTTCCTTAGCTAGAAAAATCATATGCTGATAACTTCCAAAAACCGCGCTTTTTCCGTTAAGATGGCTTGTGTAAAGGCAGCGAGGATGTCGTGCGCTCAAACTGTCTCAATGTTTTTTAAGCTAGTACTTGACCTAAGATAGATTAGAACTTTGACAGTTCACTACACTACCTCTCGAAGGATACTTTACACCTGGACTATCATCAATGCATATTTTAAAAGTCTCCAGAAAATGCGTTTTCAGACAGTTTTTTGTTCAAAACATTTTCCGTGGGTGTGACATACTCAGAATCAAAGTATTGAACAGAAGAAGTCTTATGGCGGACGCATTGTGCGCAAAATACTTTTGAAGCACAGATTGCTGAAGATCTTATTCATTTACACACTCTCATGATGAGTTGAAATCGAGACATGTTACTCATGTATTTGTGGCTGCCTTAGCGCTAGACTATTGTGTTGCTGTAACGACTTTGGATGTTAAAAAGCTGAACCATAAAGCTTATGTTATTCAAGATGCATCTCGAGGTGCTGATGGGAAAGCGATCAAATTTCAATTGAAGAATATGAAAAAAAACAGCATACGAATTGTTCAATCATCAAACATATTATTAAACATGAAAATCGAAGAAAAATGAACGAAATATTTCATGTTTTTCCTTTTTCATTGAATAAGGAAATTTATTGCGCGAACATATTTCTCCTATCGCATCATTCAGGTGGAAAAATCATAGCTTTCTCAAAAGCAGCTTTCAGTAAAATAGAGATCGCATTTTATTAAGTTTAGAATATCAAACTTGTATTAAAATACGTAAATCATTCGATCTGATTGTTTCACATAAATGAGTAGCAGCGAAAGAACTTGTTTACAAGATTGTATCGAATGTCAAATGAAAATTATATTTTGATCAATATTTGGCTCGTTACAATTAACAACAATTGCATCATGAGTTTGATTAGAAAAAAGTAGAAATTTTAGAAATCATTCGTGCAGATTAAACCTTACTCATTCAAGAAATTTCCCACTTGAAAGCCAATCAAACAGCGCAACGCACTTCACATATATTAATCTATCCTTTCTCTTTTTCTCTCTGTTCTGTGTAAGGAACTAAATTTTTTTTGTTCGTACGAAAGAAAGAAAGAAAGAAAAGGGTAACTATATTGTTCTAAAGCTTTTTTCTTTGATGACAAATGTGTCTTTTCATACGTCAAGAGTAGACAACTACGTAGATATTAAATCGTAACTAAGCGCTGTTTATTGCTTGATAATATTCTTCTTCTTCATTTGATGTAGGACCAGTTCTCGAGAAGATGAGATTGGGACAATTCTGCTGGATCTTACCTAATTGACGAAAATGTTAGGATTGACATTTTAATCGAAAAATTGTATTAGCATGCAATGACATTAGTAACATCTCATTCGATAGATTCGTCCAAAAACAGGTTCTCCATTAGAGAACGGTCTCTGAATTGGGATAAAAATTCCATCTTGTCAAACTCAAAATCATCCCTCTATCATAATAAACAGTTGTATATTTTCCGCAAAAATGATTCAAGTTTGTTGGTGATTATCATGTCGGACTTCTTTTTCTATGAACATTTCATATGCGCGAGTATGTGATGTATTCGTTATCCTCTCTCTCTTCTCTCTTTACAAATAAATGAGAGCGTTTTCCTGTGTAATTAGGAAAACTTGCACGTACAAGTGGACCAAATAGAACTTGTCGATCATTAATTAAGTAGTTAATACTGAAATTTCTACCATTGATTTCATATTCTTCGGCAATGTCAATTGGAGCAATCCATAATCTAACTGTATTTATTGTATAAGTTTCAAGGGATCCAACATTTAGAAGTGATATTTGGACATCATATTTATCACGAATAACACTATGGTTCCTTCAATAGTTGTACCATTTGCTATTCTATCCGCAACAAATGTTTTTATTTTAAACAGATCGAAGATAAAAATCATAGAGACTATCTTTTACATTCAACATTTTTATAGCATATATTAAATATTTCATATATCAGAAGAATATCATTCCAAATCTTTTTAATTCGTCTTCAATGTGATTGATCAAATATTGTTTTGATATCATATCTCAATATCGATCGAAGTACAAACGTATGATGTACAAATTACTTTATTCCTTCACCCAAAATACATAATGTCTCAAGTGTCACGTTATGTGGATAAGTCATTTTCATTACTGTAAGATTTCATTCTGTGAAAAATAACTATTAGTCGCGGAAATGCTATCAAACAAAGAATGTACATGTTTGGTCTACTATTGACTGAATTCATCAGAAAGGTAAAAGAATGAGATAAGAAGAATTTCGTTTACAACCATCACGACTTTTCTTTTATAAAGGTAAAGAAAAATTCACGCTTATTTATTTTTCTCGTTTAATTCTATGGCTTGTTTTGATGAAATATTCGATTGGACTAATCCTAAAATCGTTCCAAAGCGTCTTGGAGAAAATGTTTTCCTTATTTGGCTCGATGCGAGAATTAATCAAGATAGAAATAGTTATCAACGAGATTTGAAGAAATTACGTAGTGAAGTCAACGATCTTATTTTATTTACTGACGTCGAAGTTTGTGTGAAATTTATTGAAAGTATTTCCGATGAAAGAATATTAATAATTACTTCTGGTTCATTTGGACAAACACTCGTTCCACGAATTCATTCGCTAAAACAAGTAAATACAATTTACATATTTTGTCGTAATCCATCTTTCCATAAACAATGGACAAGTACTTGGATGAAAATTCAAGGTATTTATACTCAAATTGAACTGATTTGTCAAGCTTTAAAAGTAGCTGTAAAACAATCAAATGAAGATTTAACATCAATTAGTTTTATTCAAGCAAATTCTACTGACTCGAACATATCCGATTTGAATCGGTTGGAACCGTCATTCATGTACACGAGAATATTCAAAAAAATCTTGTTGCAAATGAAACACGATAATCGTAAAGCTCGACATGAATTGATAAAGATTTGTCACAAAATCTACGCGGATAATGCTAATCAATTAGCAATAGTGGAAGAATTTGGTCAAGATTATCATCCACAGAAAGCAATTTGGTGGTATACACGAGAATGTTTTACTTATCAAATATTAAATCGAGCTCTAAGATTATTAGAAGGTGATATCATTGTTGATATGGGCTTTTTCATTCACGATCTACATTGTCAATTAGCTCAGGTACATCGCGAACAATTACCTCATTATCAAGAGAAAATCTTTCAATTATATCGTGGACAAGGATTGAGTACAGAGGATTTCGCTAAAATGCGTCAAAATCGAGGAGGATTGATCTCTTTCAACAGTTTTCTTTCCACAAGTAGGACTCGAACTGTTTCATTACAATTTGCTCAACAGGCATCAAAGAAAAACAATATGATCGGAGTACTATTCGTAATGAACATCGACCCAAAAGTAAAATCAACACCATTTGCTGATATTAAAGATTACAGTTATTTTCAAGCTGAAGCTGAAGTTCTTTTTTCTATGCATAGCCTTTTTCGAATTGATCGGATTCAAAGTTTCGACAAAGATGAAAAACTCTTTCAAGTCGACTTGATTCAAACTACTGATGATGATCCGGAATTATTGGCGTTGACCAAACGCTTAGAAAAAGAAATTGGACAACACTCGGAATGGATACAATTGGGAAGACTTTTGATCAAAATTGGTCAGCCGAAAAAAGCAGAAGAACTTTTTCTTTCTTTATTAGAACATCCACCAAACAAGCACGAAGAAGCCGAATATTTCTACCAATTAGGATGGATTAAAGATGATCAGGGAGAATATTCAGAGTCTATTCAATATTATCAAAAATCTGTTTTTATTCGAGAGAAAATTTGTACTCCGACCGATCTTAGCCTCGCTAGTACTTACGATAATCTTGGAATGGTTTATAATCAAATCAATCAAATTTCGACAGCACTTCACTATTGTGAAAAAGCACTTCATATTCGACAAACAGTTTTGCCTGCCGATGCAACTGATCTTGCCTTGTCCTACAATAATGTTGGCTTTATCTACTTTACGAAAGCAGACTATAACAAAGCACTATCCTATTACAACAAAGGATTGATCATTTATGAGAAAAAACTTCCAGATAATCATCCCCAACTGGCAATTATCTACAATAATATAGCTGAGATTTACAGTAAAATGAATGAACAAACAAAAGCACTTCTTTTTTACGACAAAGTACTCAGTATTCAAAAACGAGCTCTTCCTGTTGATCATCCAGATCTGGCGCGTTCATACAATAATATTGGTGGTGTCTATTGTCATCTCAAAGATTATGACAAAGCCCTCTCATATTTGGAAAAAGCTGTCATTATATATGAAAAAGCTCATGGCGGTAATCATTCTGATTTGGCGACGTCTTACAATAACCTTGGATCGCTACATATGACATTAAAAAACTTGTCTAAAGCATTAGATTATTACAATAGAGCACTAGAGATTTGGAAGAAAAGTCTTCCAGATCATCATTCATTATTAGCTACGTGTTATAACAATCTCGGCACTATTTACATTAAGATGAAAGACTATTCACAAGCATTGGTATACTTTCAGAAATCCTTGGAGATTCAAGAAAATCTTTTCCATGCTGATCATCCTGATCTAGCTGTCTCTTACAGCAATATTGCAGCAGTATATGGGCATACCGAAGAACAATCAACTGCATTATCTTACTACTACAAAGCTATGAAGATTTGGCAAGAGATTCTTCCTGAAGACCACCCTCATTTGTCAATGACATACAATAATATTGGTGGCGCCTATTTAGCATTGAAAGATTATTCTCAAGCACTAGAATTCTTCGAAAAAGCATTAGATATCTTTCAACGAACTCTTCCATCCGATCATCCCAATATTAAAATGACACTTCAGTTTATCGGTGTGGCTAAACGAAAGGCTGCCATCTAATTTCATTAATTTACAAGAGTACACGTAGGACTGAGAATGTCGCTGCACGTATGAATAGAAAATAGAATGTCAACATTTCCTCCTTTGGCGAGTAAATGTATTCTAATGAAAATCCTAGAATTAAGCAAACAGTTTCGCTGTGATAAATCTACGAGAGAGAAAGGAGCAAGACTTCTATGATGAGCGCTTCTCGTTGCTTTCATCGCACTTCGCTCATATCTTGAATACTTTTTGAAGTAAAAATTCTTGCTCTTCTCCTATTGTAAATCTGTCTAGTGACATATTAGTTTAAACCTATGAAGAATTTTATGCTTTATTATTGGATTCTTGGAAGTGTACACATTGAAATCGTTTATGGATCATTTTTGTAATATGTGAAAAAATGATTAAAGTAAACGCACAGATATTTGTGTACTATTTTTTATGTTAAAAATGAGATCAATGGAAGGTTTTTTATATCTATTTCCAACAGATTCTGAAATTATCCATAAACACATTTCAATGAAGTTTTCTAATGAATATTAAAACCTAGAAAAAGATATCATTCTATCCAATGAATCCGCATTTATCCATCATTCAAGACGCATCGTGCTTCCTTCTTTCCTCTGTCTTACGGTTCTATAGAGAAAAAAAGATTTCTCGATATATTTAGTCTTAGTATATATATACATAAAGAAAAAAAAGATCACATTTATTTGTTAAAAGATGAATTCAACTACGATATTGTTCGAAACATGGTTTATTCCATTAGATAGTCTAATGATTATGTTTACAAGTTCTGTTGTAATTACTTCTTTCGTTTTTATATTATTCATTATTTTAAACAAAAAAATGTCATACAATTCCAATGTTACTTGTGACTAATTCATGTGCAGCTTTATGTTTATCGGCTGCAGCTCTACTTAGCATAAGTATATTTACATTAATCAATGATTATGAACAAATTGAATATGAAGATTCATTGTGCATTTTTCGGGCTCATGTTCTCTTTATTTCTTATGCTGCTCTAAATTATTCTTATCTACTTCAATCTAGCTATCGATATGCAATAGTCGTCTATCCAACATATTTATTCTTTCAATCAATACGAACACAAATAATTTTAATTTGTATCATATGGATATGTGCTATAACATATCCATTTGCATTTGATTTCAATGGTGAAATTATTTACAATGTAAATAATCAGATATGTATGTTACAATTTCATATCTCATTTTCACTATTTTATGCCATTGCTTTTGCTTATACAATTCCAATCTTATTTATTATTTTACTTTATTTTAAATTAGTTCGATATGTAAAACAAATGAACAAACGAGTTGTCATAGTTAATACTTTATATCGTGCACGACAACAATTACAAATGGTTCAGCGAGTTGTCATTCTTGTGATGATTCTATTTGTCAACGGTTTTCCCTATGTTTTTTTCATCATTTTAACTTTGTTTGGTCGTGAACCAAAATATTATCTTCGAATCGCTTATATATTCATTAATATATCAATGGTATTGGTTACGATTGCACTCTATCGATTTACAGATCCATTGAAAGAATCAATTAAGAAAAATCTTCGACGACGAACAAATATTGTCACAGCAGGATTAACATAATTGCATCGATGTACTTGCTAAATATAATATAAAAAAAAGACTTCAATGGAAGTAATTATAGTTCTTGTATAATATGAGTTTTTTTTCAACATTTAAATTCTTATCTTGGATTATGGTAACTATCTATGTTATCCAGTATCAAATGAATTTAAAGTCATTCGGAATCTTCAAAATCGATTACAATTACGTCATGGCATTCGTTGCAAATAGAACTTGATGAGCTGTTATATCTATTCCAAAAAATATTCCCGGAAATATCTTTCCTTACCTCTAAAACATGAAAATCAGAGGAAAACAAGAACAAATTCTTTTCTTCACTGCCAATTACCATTCCAACACTGGATTCAATCATAAAAATTTTTCACCCACACCCACCCCTTCTTTTCATTTATGAATGTGAAGAACTTAAAAGCGAAAAAGAAAGCAACTTATCATAAGTTGGAGACTGATAAATTGTTGTTTTTCTTTCAAGAAAAGATACTGGGTATAAAAACATAGAAGCTCTGTAAATTTTCATTTAGATGAAAAGTTTCTTGGTAAAACACAGCAGAACGTAAAATATTCTCTTTTTGATTATAATATTCACTGAGTATTGATTGTTTATTAATTTTTCAATCTTCGACTAAGCCAACAGGAAAAGTCGAATCATAGGATTGAGATCTAAGATTTTCCCGGCAACTCTAAACAATAGTTTCTTTCCATAAGAATATTATACGCTGAAAACATTCGATTTTCTGTTCCTATTCAATGTTATATCCTCATTTTTTAAACATTTGATATCTTAAAAACAAAACATTACTTAGAGTTAAAAGTCTGGAAAATATCTTATGACCATTAGATTGCTATTCTGAGAACAATTTCAGTTATGTATCCGAAAGAACTTAAGTTATTATTATGCATACTCAAAATAATCTCAACTTTGCTACCTTTAGTCATAGCACACAGGTAGTCTTGAATTTTTATCTTTTTCTTGCTCGCTTGAGTTATAAATCTGCTCGTCGTACTAAGGACGAGAAATACGACTATTAACTTTTTGTTCAATATTTTAGATTTAATTTTACTTTTAGCACAGAGAAGTTCACGTTCAACCAATTCATTATTCGCACTTTAACAATAATTTTTCGCACAATGGCGACAAATCGAATTACAGATGCAAAACTTGAAGGCTTATTTTGGGTTTATACACACAATGGCGTCGCACGACGTAGCTCCAACGGTGAGTATGGAGCGCATGATTTAGCCTATGGCAACTCTCCTAAGCCTTATGTTGACGTTGTACTATCAGGAGGATTAGGAGAGTACAAAGTAAAAGCAGTAATAGATGGTAAGATGCAAGAATTGGCAACTTGTGGTCCTGATGCCAGTGATCTCCAGCCAATGATTTGGGCGATGGACAATTGGTGGGTGGTCCAAAACAAGCGAATAATGCATGTTTTGTAAGCAATGCTTTGTCTGTGATAAAATACCGTGATGCACAAATAAATTTATCACGAATTAGTTGAAACTCTGTGCTTGTTGTATACCTCAGGGTGTGGATGAGGTGCCACCGTCAGTTCTTACACAGAATAAAAAATTGCAATGCTGACCAAAATTCTATGAACAGAAGATTAAGAAAATGTTCTGACTGTCACCTGGCCAAAACTACAAGAACAAAATCCGAAGTTTCTCGTACTGTTTCGATGATCTTTTAATTATTATTTTGTCTAAATAGAAAACGCAGAAACGAGAAATAAAAGCTGTTGAATAAGAAATGATATGTAGAGAAAATCTGAGGCTAGAGTCACAGTTCTAGTGCCAATGTTAACATGAGAGTATACAGGAGTGCATTCAATAAAATGGTTATGAACATGTTTCATAAGGTTACCCACGTATATCATATAGTTGACACCCTAGGCCGGAGTCCTTTGTCTGAATATTTGTGAAGAAAAGGTCATACAAATGACTTTGTGTTCGGGTGCATCTGATAGAGCAAAGAATTCTTTATAACCCACCAAAGAAAGTTTCTCGAAATCTGTCACCTGAAAAACAGGAAGGGATGAAAGATTTTTGGAAGTATCATGTAACATTCTGAAAAAGTTAACTCTTCAATCTGACCAGTAGTTTTGATGAACTAAAGTTTGAAAATCTATAATAACCCATCAGTTGGATCCTCACACTCAGGAGAAAACATCTTCAACAATCCATGCAGATTTTCCAATAATTTCTGAAGAAAGGAGAGCAGAAACTTCAAGTACATTATTTTTCGGAGAGAAATAACTTTTTTTTATATAGTGCTTTAATATCTTCCTACTTCTTAACCAGTAGAGATTTCCAAAACTTTTCTCTGGTAGATACTGAAGAATTCTTCGCTCTATCAGATGCATCCGAAACAGAGCCATTTGTCTAACTTTTTCTTCACAAATATTCACACAAAGGACTCTGGCCTAGGGTGTCAATTATATAATATACGTGGATGACCATTTTATTGAATGCACTCCTGTATACTCTCTCTCTCTGAACACACTGTTAAGACATTTAAAAGTTTATTTCTTCTACCAAAATCTTCGTTATAGGGAGTATCAACTATGTGAACATTGGCACTAGAACTGTGACTCTAGCCTCAGATTTTCTCTACATATCATTTCTTATCCAACGGCTTCTATTTCTCGTTTCCGCGTCTTCTATTTAGGCAAAATAATAATTAAAAGGTCATCGAAACAGTACGAGAAACTTCGAATTTCGTTCTTGTAGTTTTGGCCAGGTGACAGTCAGAACATTTTCTTAATCTTCTGTTCATAGAATTTTGGCCAGCACTGTATGTAATTCAACCTTTTTTTTTGGTTCTCTGGCGTAAGAAACATAACTATATCGATGAAAAGCGAAACATTTTTTCGCATTGCGTTCGAATAATGTGTTTTTTTCTGAGTCATGTCATAAACATTCTATTAAATAAGTGAATATTTGTTTTTCATTGCACAATATTTTCATAATTACACGTCAAACGATGATTATATTGATTGAAGCAATGATCAACCTCCATTCTATTTTAGAATTATCAGAGTAAATGAAAGTAGGTGAAAAAAATCTTTTAGTTAGAATATAAATGATTAATCGATGCTTTTTGATTAACTTTAGTTACACACTGAGAAAAATGGAATAAATAGAAATCTTTTTTGGTAATATTGTTATTTAAAAGATGTCTTGCAATAGTCTTGATTCAACAACAAAATATCATCATGTCGGAAAATATTTTGATTTTAATAATCGAAGTTCTCCTTATCAAACTGATTCGTTTGTATTGGAAGAGAGAAGAAATCCATTGGCAATATTTGAAGATGATCGAAATTATATCTTTCGTAGTCGTGCATGGGCGAGACTTGATGGTATTTATCAATTCGCAATCAATTACAACGATCCACGATTGACAAATCGTCAAACACATTCTCTCAAAGTCAAAGACACAGCAGAAAAGATTGCGAGAATTTTAGGATTAGGACGAGAAAGTCAAATGTTAGCAGGAAATATTGGATTAGTTCATGATATTGGTCATCCACCTTTTGCTCATTGGGGGCAATTGGCAATAAAAAAGGCTTTACAACCTTATGGATTCAATTGGAATCATGATACTGCTGGAATAAGAATACTCACTGATTGGATGAAATATTCAAATGAAAATCGACATTTCCCCCCAACGTTCATCGAAGGAGTTGTCAAAAGATTCTGGCGATACGATCAAAGCAAATCATATGGTTTTTATAATCATCAAATGACAGAAATTCCTGATTTAGTAAAAGAAATTGATCGAAAATATAATGGTGTAATGAAATTTGAGGGTTTCAATCATATCGAAGGTCAAATCGCTGCTCAATCTGATCGTTTATCATTCAATGTCACTGATCTTGAAGATGGACTTCGAATAGGTCGTTTTACTCCTGAAATGATCAAAAGCAATTTTCCATTTGCTTGGAACATTTTGGATAAAACACTCGATGACTTTCTTATTGAATCGAAAATTACGATTTCATCAACTGAACAATTTCAGTTCGTTAAAGAAATGATTGCTAAAGATAATGACATGATGGGATTCATCTATCACAGATTTGCCATATCATTTCATGAAGCTTTGATGAAAGATTTACTCGACAATACACAGATCAATCTTGAAAAAGCCATTGATTTACAATTGATTCACAATGCTGAAGATATTCGAAATGTTGATCATGTGTGTGTCGAATTTTCTTCAACACTCAATGAACAATTCAAAAATTTCGCTCGTTTTTGTCGTGAACACATTTTCACAATCACTGCACCCTTTGAACATTTAGTTTCCGCAATGATTTATGATTATCGAATTGGTAAAGTTTCACTTCCACAACTCTGGCAGAAAATCTTTGACGAAACTTCAACAATTGCTGAGAAAATCGAAATTATCGCTACATTTCTCACCTGTGAAGTAACGGACCGTGATGTCATTCGTCACGTGTTTAAACATTCGCCTGAGATCTATTATGAATATTGTCCACAATTAGAATGGATAAGAGATAATGATATAACATTTGACACAGCTACTCAACGAACAACTGAGTTATTTCGAAAGTCGGAGGAAAGAAATTTGACTGTACCGATCATCACTGCTGATGATCTCGATTTCACCGATAACAAATCAATTCCAGTCATTTCGACAACAAACAAATTCATTCTAAATGTACCGCAAATAGGTGAAACCATTCAGATTATGAAAAATGGTAAATACAAATTTGGAGAAGAATTTCATCTCGGTGATCCGATCAAAAGTCCAGATAATCGTATTATTAGTGAGAGAGGAATTACTTTTTACAATTCTATTAATGATCAATGGTTAGCGGCCATTTCTGGTTTGAAAGATAACGATTGTTATGTGATCATTTTAAACGAAGTAACTGAAGAACAAGCAAAAAAATTAGAAATGAAGTTAGAAGAATATGGTCATCCAGAAGAAATGACAATTTCACAATTGAAAGATATTCTTCTCTATGCAGAAAGTTTAGGAATTACTGATTATTATCCTTCAAATGTTGGTTTTATCAAAGAAATGATGGAAATATCTGATTCGGTGTACGGATGGAAACAACGAAAAGAAACACAAATTTGTCGAGCCATTTATATTGAAGGTGTTGGAGAATTTATTCAACCATTTGGAGAATCACAAAAATTCAATCACGGTGTATTCATTATCAAAACTCCAACGGGTGAAATTCATGTTGTTGACAATGATGTTGCTTTGCGAACATATCGTCATTTGGATAATAGTTTTATCGAAAAAGGTGATGTTCCTTTGCAAGAACCATCCCGAAAAGAAAAGTTTAAAACAATTCACGACCTTCCAAATAGTATCGCTTCTACAAAGATAGTCATCATTGGTGCAGGGGTCAGTGGGATCGCCACAGCAACGTATTTAATTCAAGAATTTATACATGAAAGTCCTTTCGGACACACTTTAATCATCAATATAATTGATTCAAATAAAAATCCGGCAGGATCGACGTACAATCGACCATCACCGGGAAAAGTCAAGATGGCTAATCCAATAGGATGTTTGGGAATTCAATCAGCAACAGCCTGTATCGAACATATCAATGGAAATCCAGATAAATGGAAAAATATCTTTTGTGATGTCAATTATGAAGAACATCAAGGTTTTGATGGTCAAGCAAGTATTCCCCATGTGCAATATGGAGAATATATTCGGGATCATTTCCAATCCATCATCAAATTCATTGAAGCGAGTAAAGCTCCAGTAGAAGTTCGATTTATTCGTGATCGAGTGATAAAAACAACAGAAGATGTATCGAAAAGTAAGTGTTGGATGAAATTAGGAAGTGGAAGAGAAATTTCTGCTGATGTTGTCGTTTATGCTCTCGGAAATGCCAATCCAAAACCACTTACAGATCACACTGGTCGGACATTATGTGGACAAAATGGATATTACAATCTTGATGATCACGCATTTACACCTGAAAATGTGAATGAAACTGATTTCACTGTGATTGTAGGCACGGGAAATGGCGCATGTTTTTCCGCACTTTGGGCAGTGGATCACGGTTATCAGGGAAAATTTCTATTAGTATCAAGAAGTGGTCGTGTACCTCATGTAGCGAATCAATCGAAACCTTTCACGAGAAGTATTTGTACCGTCAAGAAGTTTGTTGAGGAGATCAAAGAGACAGAAAGTAGAACAGCGGATTGTTTAATGGAATTATTTCATCAAGAGATGAGAGAGGCTCATTCAGCTGGATTTCAATGGCGAGATGTTGTCGATTCAATGTTCACCGATACGAATACATTGTGGAGGGCGATGAATCACAATGAACAACAATGTTTCGTAGAAAGATACGGAGCATTATGGTTTTGTGCCAGATATCGAATACCCAATGAGCAATGGGAACAAGTTGAGAAACTTCGTAAAGAAGGAAGATTGGAAATTACAGGTAGATTACAATACATAGAACTTGTTCAAAATACTGGTTTCAAGGTTATTATAAAAAATCACGATGGATCTCTTCGAACCATAGAAACATGTAAAATTGTCAACAACACTGGTCCATCGAGATATGTAGAACAAATGCCTGTTTGTGCCAAAGAACTTGTTACTAGTGGCTTAGCTCGAATGCATCATAATGGAGGATTTGATGTAGACGATCATTTTCGATTAATTAATACTGAAGGTCAATCATTGTCACGATTTTATGCATTAGGACCCATTGTCAGTGGTTCACATCCTGAATCAATAACAATTCCAGCTATTAGATCCAATGCAATGATAATTTCCAAATCATTAATTGATTATTATATTACTAAGAGAAGAAATGAATTTCATTATAGCGGTTACAATCATAAACCTTATGATTATTCCACAATGAATCCCAATGTACTTTCAGATAGATTTAAGAAAACACGTTTTGCTCGTAGTTTGACAAATATTTCTCCACGAAATTATACTGATGAAGAGAAAACTCACTTCTATACTGTTGAATTTGCAGAAAAGGCACTAGCATCTGGTGATATCAGTGCACCACGAGATAAAACAGTATTGTGGTCGGGTGGTCATATTCCTTCTCATCCTCTTGGTTATGGATTGGGTCGAATTATTGCTGAACGTTGGTTAGTCGAAAAGAATGTTGAACTTGAATTAAAAGGTGAAGATCTTTATTATACAGTGGCCATGACAGAAGCAGGATTACCTGTTTTAAATGAAATGTGGGATGATTTGACTATTCCTTTGAGTCTGAAAAAACAAGTCACACCGATCTATATTTTGGGTTTTGCTGCATGTGCTTATGGAGAAATCAGTCTTAATGTCGATGATACAGATCTCGATTCATTCTTTCGGGAAAATGAACTCCAAGTTGTTATGGAAAATCCTAATATTACTTCAGTTCGAGCTATAAGAGTCAATCGTGAAACAGATCTTTTACAAGAAATTTTATATGAAAATCGACATAAATGGTATAATGATCAAAAAGATCAATGGGTGGATTCTGTTATTATTCGATATCAACTTGCTCATAATATTTGGAAAAGAGATAATTCGCATTTGATTTTGTATGAACGAATGTCACAAGCATTGTTCGATGAATTTTACGATTCTTATACGAATGTGATCAATGGGAACAAATTTATTCAGCAATTTTATAAAGCAATTGGTTTAGAATATACACAATGGAATCAAAAACTTGATAAAGCGTTGGAAATTATACGACTAAAGAAATTTGCTCCGCTGATCGAAATCAATCCAAATTGGTTGAAAAATGATAAAATTAATAGCGAACAGTTACAAATGGCTTTTTTATGTTGATTTCATAATTTTTCTTCCTTTTCTCGCTCAAAACGGAAATAAAAACAACACTTTTAAGTTTTTCTGCAGTGATTTTCATTTATATAATTCTACGCTGTTTAAACAACAAATACTACCATTAAATTCGCCTGTAGCTAAAACTTTTCCATTTCCTAAAACGACTGCCGTAAACTCGCGTTGTGCATCACTCATATTTGCAGTTGTTGCTCAAATAGCTATTGATGGATTATATAATTCAGCATTTCTAACACCGTCACTAATGCATATCGCACAAAATTCCTGCTTCCTGTATCTATTCATGCCCAGGACGAACGTTCCGGTCGCCGGATCCGAACGGAATGCCATAGGAATGTTGAAGCACTGTTTCATATCGGAATGCTCTGGAACCGGATCCGTGATATTTCCACTAACTCCATTACCCGGTTTCCCGTCATATCCTAACGGAAAACAGTAGTCCCACCTATTCTGAACAAACAGAACCCTACGGAAACAGAAAATAATGCAATCGCCAAAATGTTTTCCGAATATTTCCAAAAGAACTCATGATTTTCCAGCACCACCCAAAGTATCCGATCGTTTCCCAAACCAAGAACTCATCTGAACCCGCGAAACGTAACTAAACGTAAACAACCATAAACCTATATATCCGATATTTTCCAACTGATTTCCAATGTCTCGCTCACATTTTCTGCAAACAACTGATCTGACAAATACTAACACCAAAAGCAGAAACAGCAAACAACGAGAATCTCATTCGAAACAATAATAAGACCATATTATCAACACAAAAAGTCATATTCCTCGGACCGTTCGCAAAACGTTTCTCAATCATAATTCTAGAAACATACCAAACAAGCGATCGGAACCAGTAAACAAATCGATGCAATCAGATATCGACATGAAAATTTTTTGAAAACTACCCAAAATACATCGATTTCCCAATAACAACAAAAACTGAAAACAAGATAAAAAAACTAAATACAAATAAGGTTTTGGACCGATATTCAGTAGCATCCAAAAATAAATCGCGATCTTACATGACGAACGAAAATGCTGTAACATTCAATTCTAAATGCGCAATCCTGCAATCCGAGTGCATTATAATTTGGAATCGTGCGATCGAAGTGTAGTTCAATGGCCGGTAGTGCATTTTATTATGTTATTCGCGTGGGGCTAGTTTCAAATCCCTAGAAGGTGTGTACTAGTTTGTCTGTTTGGCAATTCGAATAGCGTCGGTTCGTGTGTTTTTGTTAGCCTGCGGTGATATCTTTTATTTGCGCTCGATTAGTGTATTGAGTGAGCATTTTGGACTGGTTCGGTTCTGGTAGTTTCCGAGAGGTTATGGTATGCTGGAATGTTACGAAAGTTCAGTTTGGGATTCCATACTTTTCCGTCTGGTTCGCGCCGGATCCCCACGGATTTTAGCCTGTTGAACTCGATCTGGGATGGTTTTATATAATCATAAATTGAAAAATACCACCCATCTAAGAGATAACAGCGACCGACTTATCATGTGTATACCCGGGTGTGGTGGTACACGAAAATCACAACTTATTCGTGCTGTGACTGATTATTTTCGTGTTACAAACAGAATACAAAAGATACGAAAGCTAGCAGCTGCTGAAATTGGTGGCATGGCTATCCATTCATTTCTAGGCGAACAATTGATTGATGAAATGAGTACGGTTGGTTTGACTTTACTCGGAAAACTCAATACATGCCGATCCGCGAATTCCATTCGGTGGTATAAACGTGATATTCTTTGGTGATTATTTACAGTACCGGCCAGTATACGATGCTCCGTTACACACTGACTTTTCGCCGGAAAATAAAAAGAAATCCAACAACATGTTGCACGTTCTTTAATTCTACAAATGAATTGTGCGGTCAAACTCACTCAACAGATGCGAACAGAAGACTCACGATATCTTCAATTATTTCAACGACTTCGTCAAGGCCAATGTAGTTATGAATTATTACTGACGCGCGTTGTCGGATAGTCATCAGTATCTCTTCGTGAACCATCATGGAATCAAGTAAGATAGATTTCTCTTTTCTAAATAAACATATTTTCTCTGTCTTCTCTGTTTTAGAGTCCCATGCTTGTGTTTAGAAATGAAGTACGAACGCAGTTGAATCACAGGTCGGCAATTCATAATGCAATACAAACAGGTTGCAATACAATGGTATATGTTGCCCAGGACTTTTGTAAAGGCAAAGCTGTAGAAGAAACGATAATTGTCAAAAAATTATTGGAATTATCTGACAGTAAGACTGAGCACTTACTGGGATTGTTACCGTTAGTTCCTGGAATGCCGGTTATCATTACACAAAATATTGCTATTGAACTCGGATTAATTAACGGCATGAATGGAATCTTTAGACAGCTAGTTTATGATACTGATTCAGTCTCAACAGACAGTCTATCAACACCGTTTCCAATGAACACTACATATGAATTAGAAAGGCAATGTTATCGATTAAGCGATGCGCATTACCTCTTGTACCCGCCTATTCTATTACAACTCACAAAAGTCAGGGACAAACTTTAAACAAAGTCGTTATTGATTTGAAGCTACCAAAGGATACAGATGACATCGCTGCAGTCTATGTACTATTATCAAAAGTGAAGCGTTTGGAGGATTTAATTATTTTGCGACACTTTAATTACAAAGTTTTCGTGATCAAACCCAGCAAATCGCAAGTTGCTGAGATGCAAAGACTAGACAAACTCTACATGGAAACACAAATGCGTTTTTCAGAATGATTTTGACAAATTCGATAGAAAAGACAAATCACCGTTGCTTGTCATCCATTTTGCACATCGGATTCATTTGTATCACTTGTAACTGTGCAAATTTCTTGTATAATTAAACATTTTTTCTATTAGTCCGTTGTTTTGTAATCGAAATCCAAATTTTGTTTTCAATTTTATCGTAGCTATTATGTTATGTTCCACGCTTCTTATTCGTACTCGCATATACTTTATTCATATTTTGACTTCTTTAGAGATTTAGTTAGAACTAATACAAAAAATTATTTGTTTTCTTTCATGTAGTTGTTTATTACATCATCAATTTGTCTTTATTTCATTGAAAAACAAATAAATAAACTTCATATTGGAAAACATTTTCTCTTATATGAAATGAAAAAACAATAGCAAATTGATTATTACATATGAATCTTTTCAGTCCAGGGTAATGCGAGTCCGTCTCGACGAGCGTTATTTATACTTTTATGTTTATCTTCAGTTAGACATTGATATTATATTTTTGTGTNCGTTACACACTGACTTTTCGCCGGAAAATAAAAAGAAATCCAACAACATGTTGCACGTTCTTTAATTCTACAAATGAATTGTGCGGTCAAACTCACTCAACAGATGCGAACAGAAGACTCATGATATCTTCAATTATTTCAACGACTTCGTCAAGGCCAATGTAGTTATGAATTATTACTGACGCGCGTTGTCGGATACTCATCAGTATTTCTTCGTGAACCATCATGGAATCAAGTAAGATAGATTTCTCTTTTTTAAATAAACATATTTTCTCTGTCTTCTCTGTTTTAGAGCCCCATGCTTGTGTTTAGAAATGAAGTACGAACGCAGTTGAATCACAGGTCGGCAATTCATAATGCAATACAATGGTATGTGTTGCCCAGGACTTTTGTAAAGACAAAGCTGTAGAAGAACCGATAATTGTCAAAAAATTATTGGAATTATCTGACAGTAAGACTGAGCACTTACCAGGTTTGGTACCGTTAGTTCCTGGGATGCCAGTTATTCTTACGCAAAATATTGGTATTGAACTGGGATTAATTAACGGCATGAATGGAATCTTTAGACAACTAGTTTTTGATACTAATTCAGTCTCAACAGACAGTCTATCAACAACGTTTTCAATGAACACTACATATGAATTAGAAAGGCAATGTTATCGATTAAGCGATGCGCATTACCTCTTGTACCCGCCTATTCTATTACAACTCATAAAAGTCAGGGACAAACTTTAAACAAAGTCGTTATTGATTTGAAGCTACCAAAGGATACAGATGACATCGCTGCAATCTATGTACCATGATCAAAAGTGAAACATTTGATTGACTTGATTATTTTGCGACACTTTGATTACAAAGTCTTGCAGATCAAACCCAGTAAATCTCAAGTTGCCGAGATCCAAAGACTAGACAAACTCTATATGGAAACACAAAAGCGTTTCTCAGAATAGTTTTGACAAATTCGATAGAAAAGATAAATCACCGTTGCTTTTCATCCATTTTGCACATCAGATTCATTTGTTTGTATCACTTGCAACTGTACAAATTTCTTGTATAATTAAGCATTTTCTCTATTAGTTCGTTGTTTTGTAATCGAAATCCAAATTTTGTTTCAATTTTACCGTAACTATTATGTTTTGTTCCACGCTTCTTATTCGTACTCGCATATATTTTATTCCTATTTTGACTTCTTTAGAGATTTAGTTAGAATTAATACAAAAAATTATTTGTTTGTTTTCTTTCATGCAGTTGTTTATTATATCATCAATTTGTCTTTATTTCATTGAAAAACAAATAAATAAACTTCATAGTGGAAAACATTTTCGCCTACGTGAATAAAGAAAACAATGACAAATTGATTCTCACATAAGAATAGTTTCGGTCGAAGATAATGCGAGACCGTCTCGACAAGCGTTATTTAATGAAAATAAACGTTGATAATCAGACTGAGCTAAATTATAAATTGAGGATAAATTGATCTGTCCATATAAGTTGTTGAATACGTGGTGGTATTTGAGTATCATCAAATTCTAATGGTTGCCAATATTGCATGTCGTTAGCTTTCTTTTTACCTGTACCCCAACGATCACTAACAAAGATAAATACTGATGTGTCATTCTTTTGCAATGCTTCAATAACAAAACTTTCTTGTCCACCCGAAATTGATCGATGACGTACAATTCCATCGATAATTATATCTCTCACTGGATCAATATCATATTGTGTATCATTCCAGATACCCATCGGATGTTTACTAACATAAACACGAGAATTACTACCTGATGTACAGAAACAACAACATTGTCCAAATAATAGATAATAATATTCGTGACGTTTGAACATAATCGGTGCTTCATTATTACTTGGTGTTAATGGTCCAGTTGTGGATGATTTACCTAATGTACTGGTGAAATTTGGTGTCATTTGTTCAATTTGAATACGATGAAGATTATTGAAAGAATTATAAACAAGATAACCAATTGATCTTCCAGTATCATTACTATCATCAACAAAAACAGCAAAATCGCCTGGATTATCGTATTGAAGTGTTTGGACTTTTTCTTGAACAACAGTGAAAACACCATCAGGAGTTTTCGATGTAGCTACTACATAACTTGCATTAAGAAAATTTGGTGATTGAAAAGGACCATTACGTACAACACGATTAATCCAGAGTACGTATAGTTGTGTATATCGATTGTAGATCACTTTTGGTCGATAATAAATTCCTCTTGGTCGACCTCCACTTGTGGGAAAAATATCCCGCACAAATGTCCATCGATATAAATCAGATGAAGTATACAAATTAACAGTATGATTCGTACGAAAACCACAATCACTCATTAAATAAAGACCAGCACAACCAAAATCCAAAGGTGGATGACAGTCTCCATAACCAATACCATAATAATAATAGAGACCATCTTTATCATACTGAATAATATTTCCATCGTGAATATCCATTGGTTTACCATTTATATCCACACGAGGTAACACATTACTAATTACTACTGATGTTGGAGATACATCGCTGATCAATAACAATGTTAGAAAAAGAGCAATACTAATTAAAAACATTCGTTTCATTTTATTTCAATTGTATTTTTTAGTCGTGAGAAGGGTTGGCAGAAATGAATACTTACTTTGATACTATTCAATTATATAACACTAGCACGATATTATTTAAGATCAAAATACAAGAAAAAGAGTTTTGATTATTATTTTATGAAAACGTTCTGTTTGTTATCTGATAACAACAAACTTTAAAAGAATAACTATCATCATTATACTTACAGTAACAAAACTTATCATTCAAAACAAAAATATTAGACAAATTTGACTGAAACTTATCACATTTTGATACGAAAAAGAAAAAGAACGATATATAACCATAAACACTAAAATGTTACTAAGTAGCAACAAATGCAGAAGTTTTGATAACATCCTTCAATTTGTTGGTATTGATTAGTAATGAATTTCATTGTGTTGAATACTACGTAAGACTATCCAAAAGCAGTGAGGAAGGTGACTTTTGTTTCATCTAAGGAAAAACATTCAAAGATTTCTTTTATTAAATAAAGAAAACAAATCTCATTTCAGCTTTTTCTTACGAATGATCAAAGTTTACTTTTATAAGTCTGTAATCTAACATCTGTTTGAGAAATTCTTCTATCAATTATTTATCTTCTTGTTTGGATTGAAAAACGAGAAGATTTTATTTATTAGTTAAATGTTTTCTTCTTTTAAATAAAAGAATCATATTTTTTATATTAATCAATTTGAATCAATTATCGGCGGCCGTGTACAAACCTATATAATAACTAATATTGAAGCGGAAAGTTTCTGCTAGAATTAAAATCAATGTCTCTATTCCATTTTGGAAGACTTTTTTGATGATATTTCGAATCAAATTAAAACAGTTTTTCCCTCGACTGAAAGGAGGGTCATACAAAGAAAATAGTTTGCGGGTGTCAGGGTCAAAGGACAAATCACTACTCTTTTGAAAATGTTCAAAACTTCATAGAACACAGTGTGGAAGTGGTTCTGATGCCGATGTTTGATTGAGTGGTGGTGAGAGAGGGTCGGGGTCAAAAGAACATTCACTTCCGGGGGGGTTAAAGATCAAAAAAACATTTGTTTGAAAATGCTTAAAACATCATTTGGGAGGGATTTTGAGACTGAAAGTTGACCGCTGGGGTCAACGGCCCCTACTAAAATCTCATCATCCGTGAAAGAACGGTCAGGTGAAAGGAAGTTTTTCAAAAACTTAAATGTGCAAGGAAATGCACCAAATATCGCAGCTGAAAGATTTGTACTCAGTGTGTAATGTAACTCGTATTTGTGATACTAGAAGAGCTTGCTTAGAAACACAAGTCCAAAATACAAATCTGATTTTGTGCTTCTGTTGGTGTGAATATAGAAAAGAGACAACGAAAATGGTGTATAAATTATTTTTAGTATAAGTGTTTGCTAGAGTCCCGAATCACAAGTTCAACATTAGGAGAAGGTATATCTCGCACTCAAGTGCAAGAATACAAAGAGGAAAAGTAATGGTCGTAGACTAAAAGAACCGGAATTGTGATATAACAACGTCTGCGGTGATTGATAATTTTGTTGCAAACTGTGAAATCAGCCGTTGTTCCCTCGACTGAAAAAAGGAGGGTGATGTGCAAAAAAGTGGGGTCAAAAACTGAAATTCGTTTGTATGTATGTTTGTCGCGGGTCAAAGGTTACAGGTCGAAGTTCAAAGGTCAACTATCAATAAAATTATATATATTGCAAGCATATCCCATACTATATTATGGAGATACCCATAGGCCCTCATGGCCTATGTAGTGGGGGCACTCAGAGGTTCTCAAGTCCTGTACTATAGGAATATCGATCGGTTATGATGTCCTGTGAGAATGTTTTTTCAGATGAATATTAAGAATGAAATATTTTGAGATTGTGTTGGTTAACTGTAAGGAGAGTTTTAATGAAACAAAAGCTGTTCAGTTTGACGATTTGAGTATGTAAATTGGATACAATGCTTGGATACGGCTAAGTGCGGAGCAGTGAATCGTGAGTGGTGCCCCATAAGGGCGCCGACGAGCGACGAATTGCTCTCGGAAGTGTTAACTGATGGATCGATGAGAAAAGCTGAGCGAACTAGTATAGGTGATTAAGAAGCAATCTTATCGTTTAACAGCATCCGTCGTTCTATTGTAGAAGAGGACAGAGATGATTGAATGTGGAAAAGTCTTGATAACCACTGTAATAGATTACTATTCCGTCGAGATAATGATATTCATTTAGAAACACTTGATAAATAGATAGATCGATAGTAGTGGCGTAACTATTGGAGAATCGGTAAGATGAATGAGAACAGTCTTTGAAAAATGATTCCGTAGGATATGTTTCTGTATTCCTTATATTTTTGTATGGAAAAGATTCGGGAACACCATTGTATGACTGGTTGGTATTTCAGTCGAGGGTAATGCGAGTCAGCCTCTGCGAGCGTTATTTATTGAATTTCAGTCTGAAATCCTATTTTGAGAATGTGTCACCTGAAGAGTTTTTGAAATAACCAGTACAAAACAAAAGTAAATTGAATCAACAAAAATCGAAGTTGCAACTGTGCAAAAGAAGAAAACTATGGAAGAACTGAGATCGATGAACAGAATATGCTTTAACAATTCAGTATGTACCAGTATCACAACAATGAAATAAAGAGGAAAGAAATTTCTTATAAGGCAATGATTGTATTTAAAAACATCGAGTAAAAGAACCGAACCAAAAGATGATGATAGACATCTTCAAAGCGATTGCAAGACCAGTGATGACATATGGTTACCCGGTAATATTAACAGCAAACGACAAAGTGTGGGATCGGCTTCAAATCATCCAAAACAAAGCGCTTCGCGCTACCCTTGGCCTGCCGATCTATACCTCTGTCGAATACATACATCGGATAACCAAAATACCAAAAGTCAAAGCCTATGCAACATCACTGCTCCAACAATCCATAGCAGAGGTCCTAATGGGATGGGACAATCCCATCCCATCCCATCTCGTCCCGTCCCATTTCATCCCGTCCCATTTCATCCCATGGGACATTTTTGAATAAGCAGTTTGTCCCATGGGATGGGATGGGATGGGATGAATTCACCTTTTTTATTCTTTTTCTTTATTGGTATATAAAATATATTCCAAACATGATTATACAAACAAGTACATATGTACAACAGAAACGAAATAAAAAGGAAATCTGGATATTGTGTTGTGCAAAAATCATAGTAAAACATTATTTGTTTTGTCGTTTACTCAATGTCATCTTCAATCACTAGTCCTCTCATATCTTCATCGTCGCAATCAACCGATAATTACACAGTGGAGAAAATAAAGTTTCGTTTACAGAATGATAAATCTAATTATCAAATTATTGGTAATAATATTTCCAACTGCAANCATTATCCTATTTTGGCAAGTGTAGCAAGAAAAATACATTGCATATCAGCAACATCGAGTGCTGTTGAGCGACAATTCAGTAGCGCTGGTTTTATCTTAAACGAGAGGAGAACATCTTTAGATCCAGAACATATCGACAATATTTTATGTATTCGAGCATTGGAAAAATTAAAACAATAGTTTTTTTTAATATTTTTTTCAATTGTCATATTTTTGTTTTTCTTGATTTGATTACTTGTTTATCATTATAATCACGATTTTGTTGATATTTTCAATTTCTTTTACAAAATACTGTTATATTAGTATGTAAAAAAGTTGTGAAGTTATATGCTGAACTTGCAATTCTATGTTCTTTTTGAAATAAACGGTGATTAATAGTATGAAACAAAACAATTCGCCTTACATTCATTAGCTCCGAATCTAGAAATAACTTTGACTTTTGCAAGAATTTGAATATAAAGATATGAATCCCATGGGATGGGATGGGATGAAAACTGGTTTTATTAGATCCCATGGGATGGGATGGGAGATGCCTGACTCCCCCATGGTACGTTTTTTTCATCCCATCCCATCCCATTAGGACCCCTGATCCATAGCCACCGCTACATCCAACAAAGACCAAACGCTCCTACAACATCTGCAAGACATCGCCGACCAACTATCACAAAACACCAACACCAATGTTACAGGACTATCTGCGTCGATACACATATCGTCAGCAGATCAATGACAAATGACTACTGATACCGACTTTTCCCCCGACAACACGTCACTCCCACAGACTATGACGACAACCCCTAAGACAATCCAACCATCCTTCTGTCTCTCCTTGTGAAGACAGTAAACGACTACATGTGACGTACATATCCTCGTTCTCCGGCTCTACCAGTTCTGGTCTATACGTTAACGACAACGTGAAATAACACTCTTCTCTTCACTATTAATGTTAGCGTCGATAACATAGATCACTATTAAGTCAGCCGAAACTGTACAAAAATTTTTATATGGGAATCACGTACAAAACGGTTGATCGAGAACGAAGAAACGACGATTATCGACGTATACGTCGACCCGTTCCTGCACATATACGTCGAAGCTTCATCGAAGAGAACCACCACTACGCTAACATGCAACTTCACACGGTCGAACCTAATCTCCACCACACTCTATGCGTTTAAATTTGTGTTTTTCTCTTTTCTCTTCTCTACGAGACATAAGACATAAGTCATGCGTCTCCTTTCCTTCTCTGCCAGCTTTGTGACCAGTTTGCCCGTTGTCTCTCTTCTTCTCTTTCCGTTCTTCTTTTCATTCTTGTAAACTGGTTGTTTATCATCGAATAAAGCGTTCACTCCAAAAAAGTAAAAGAAGTATTTCAAACAGAGTATTCTTGAATTTCTTTTTATAAGAAATGAGCAAAGGAAAAAGTTTTCAGTTGATACTTTTGAGTATATATTAGAAGTTACAGAGACATAGACGAAAGAAAAAAGATAAGTATGTTTTGAAGAAGTTTTGATATTTTCCGTACTTGAAGAATAAGCAATGAATAAGCTGTATGATTATTGTTACTGATATCGTCTTTCATTTGTGAATGTTTATATCCAAGAAAGTAATGACAAGGATTAAAAAATGAATCAATAATTAATGTGATATAAATAGGATTTTCTTAATAGCACGAGAGACTTCATATCTGAAAGTTTTTGCTGCTATTAAATAAACATAGAAACTTAGACAAGATGGTAAATATAATAAGAAAACAAATAAATTGTAAATAAATGATTCAATAAGAATTTGTTCAAATGATTTGTCATAATTCTTTGTAATAACTGAATATATTTGAAAAATCGACGAAGGAATTTGACATAAAATTGTTATTAATATTTGTGTTAATAACATAATTATTAATTGTTGTTCTTTTTTATTTGGACGATATTGACAAAGATTATCAACAGATAAAATTATATTACGATAATGAAGTAAATTACTTAAAATAATAAATCTAAAGCAAAAATCATGTTTTTGTTGTTTTCATCAAGATCATCAACTTACACGAATATAATTAATACACATGGTGGGAGAATTCCATAACTTATAGCAAAGAATACAAAGATAAATTCATTAAAAACATTATTTGGTAAAGGAATACAAATAAATTGTCCTGTTGGAAATTGTTCAATATTCGTATAGATTAAAGCAGGTATATTAAATATAATCCAAAAGAATGTTATACAACTAATAGAATAAATAGCTATTTTCATTGTACTATATTGACGTATGATTAATCTTCGAGAACTAATACAAGTACGATCAAATGCAACTAAAATGAGTAATTCAGGTAATAAATTAATTGTTACATAAATAATATAAGTACGAATACGACAGATAATTGTTGATTGAATACTTATATCAATTGAATAACCTATACTAAGTGATGATGTTAAACCAATAAAATCAATCCAACAAATACTAATTATTGTATAAACTAGAAGATAAATTGAACAAGGGCTTTTACGAAGATATGGTTGTACAAAAATAATTAAATTAAACACATTTCCAATTGTACCAAATATAAGAAATATTGGTAAGATCAAACGATAGAAATAATATTGAACTATATTAAGAGTAGAAAGGAAATCTTTCGAAATTGATGACATTCTTTTTCATATAATATTTTAAATAAATTCTTTTACAAAACGTTTGCTTTCATGTGTTGATGAAAAATACTTTTTCTTTCTTATAGAAATTCATTTTTATTTTCATGATGCTTAAATCAAGATAATTAAGTAGTTTCGCCTGACAGATCAAATTAAAACAAAAGCCTATAAGCTAAGAAGTTCTTTTTTTAAGTAAAATTATAATAGAAAAATGAATTAGCTTAAAAATAACCATGGGCACAAAGTCTATTTTATAAAAAGAAAATCATACGTAACGTCTGTTAATAGGTACGTTCTTTAACAATATTATATAACACGTTATAAAAAAAGAATATTGAGTAGATATTTCAAAGTTTTTGAATAACTTCATTATTTTTATAAAAAAATATTTATACAAAGAGAGTAGTGAGTTTTTTTTTGAATACTCATCGAACAACATTCATATTAAGTACTATTGATATAGTTTTCTTCTTTTTCTCGCGACTAGCCGAAGAGGTAGCCCGTTATTAAATTTGATAGAAAGATTAATAAAAGAAAAGTCTTTTATTTATATAAATAATAAAGACAAGATCAAGATAATGGAGAAACTTCAATCAAGCTGAATGAAGTCTTGACAATGATGCATTGTCGTCAGTTCTATCAGTCTGTAAATAATATTGAATCGAATTAATTGATATTTATCTTTTTTCTAAAGTTTTCTTTCAAAATATACTTTAGATTTATTTTTGAAATGAAGAGAAAATTAGTTTTATGCTTCACAAAGACGATTAAAAATAGAAGATCAAACAAATTTCAAGCACAAAACCTTAAAAGTGGGTACTTTCATTCGGAATAGGTCATAATTGATTAATCAAAACTGACAAATTTTTACAGGAAAAGTAATATGTTGATTTTATCTACGAAGGGACGTGTTGCTTTCTATCGAACCTGACAATCAGTTTAACGTACACATCTAAGTATCGTGAGTAAGAATGGAACGTGTTTTTTAATGTAAATATTTTAAATTCAATCAATGACAGGTTTTGTTAATATGCTCGAACAATAGATAAAATCCTTTAACAAATATTAATCAGCCTCATTTTCTAATCATTAACATGCGATATAATAGAAGTGAATTATCGTAGATTTAAGATTGTAATTCTCATTGATCGGATAGTTTAATAGACTAATAGAGTGTCGAGATTTCTTATCGGACATTTATATATATTATAGACTAAGTAATCTATCTTGACTAGAAAGTTCCTGTATAAAAAGAATTATATGAATACTTTTTCCCATTTGAATATTTTAAAATTGTTAAGGAAGCATTTTCTAGTTTTGTTCATCTAATTACATCAGTTTTTTGTTACAGATTGTTATCATTTAACGTAGCAAAAGAATGAAAAAGTCTTGTTTTGACAAAATGTTAATACGAATGAATAGTTACTTTATTTGTATGATAGTACTTACTGATATTAGTTTTGCCACAATTTCACTAACGGAAGAACAACAACCAAGTGATGCACATTTTGCGGTCAATAGTAATATGGCTGTGTTTGCTCGCAATCGAGATCGTCTTCTTTATGTGACAAGTAGTCCTTACATAGAAACCAAAAGGCAATGTCAATTGGAATATGATTTATTGAGGATAAAGTTCGTCGAAAAGATAGCTTTGGGTAAAGATGAATACGAGGGTCCATTCACATATACTTTCATTGGAGCGACTGATTCATCGCCAACTGATTACAATCTATATATGATACGTGCGACAAAAGATTATTTGAATTCATGTTCCAATCTTTCTATACAACCAATAAGCGTGTCTCGGCTTGTCAGTAGCGAAACAGGATATGCTCTCACTATGCATCCATTTGGTAAACAAGTTTATATCATTGGTAATGGATATCTTTGTGATATTCACGTAAATCAGTCTATGTGTGGCAGAATAGGCATACTAAATGCGACGAACATGTTTATCAAAACAATCGAAGTAACCAGCGATAAATATATATTCATAGGAGTTTATTCTCAAAAAATGAATGAATTAGTTCCCGAATTGTACATATTCGAAACCGTTGATACATCTGATAAGATTCTCATTAAACATTTTCCTATGATGAGTACTGGAGAGATTCCTCGTGGACGTGCAACAATGACAATGTCTGTGCATGGATCACTTAAGGATCCTAGAGAGTTTGTGCTTGCTGTTGGTATTCCAGAAATAGATACTGTTTTGATATACGTATTGACTCTGGATAGAACACTATTGGTAAAAATTCATAGATCACCTTTGAAAGGTGTTCAATTTGGCCAATCTATATTTATAACTCCAAATAGAATGTATGGCGTACTTGCCGCTTCGCTCTCTACTCAACCTTGGTCGAACTCACGAATACAGGTACGATTTTTGTTATTGATGTTTGTATTTTTCTAGAATTGACATAACATGCAAATTAGACGCATAGCGACGTTCTATCTTTAAAAGTAGTCTCTAATGATCCCAAATATTGCAGATTTTCATTCTTTCGAATAACAATGTATTTTTATTGTTCATGAGCATATTCAAGTATCATTACGATATGTTATATAACTTTCCTTCTCATCACTAATCTTACACTTATATTTCTAGTTCTATCCTATTCCACCTGCAACTGATGGACCTCCAGAAATAATAAGTCCAAAGCCACTTTTCATCTATCCCAATAATCAACAGACACTTTTGAAAACTGTGATTGTAGAATCTTCTTCAGATCACATTGTAAACGTAGTAGGTTGGTCAGCAGGATTCGGTGTGGTAGTGAATAGTAATAATATTCACTATGCTCTTTTGATACCAAATACACCTCCTGGTAACATCGCTATTGCACCAACTATACCGCACACTATTTTCATTTCTGCAAATCAAGCATGTCCACTTGGCACTCAAAAACTCGCTACTGATTTTGGACCTTGCGTTCTTTGTCCACCGCAAACAAGAAACAATGGAAGTTCAGGTGTTCAGTGTCAAGAATGCGATAAAAACAGTTCATCCATGATATGTTTTCGTGGAGCGAGTATCGAAATTAATAAAACTGACTTAACCAGCTACCGACAAGTTCAACCCTATCTGAACTCACCTGGTTCAACCGAGTTCGACGATATTCTTTTAAATCATGTTTTCAAATTAAAATTACCTTCAAACATGCGTTGTTTACTTCTAGCTCCACTATTCTGGGGTTTACTGGCTATTGGCATAGGACTAATGCTTCTCCTTCTAATGATCATTCTAAGCTTTATTCCAAAGATGCAAAATCATCGGACAATATTGAAAAGGATTTTCGTTCGTTTGGATATTATCGGTGAAGGGCAACTTTGGTTCGGTGGTCTTCTTACATTGGCCATTATCACATTAATCGGTTTTACATGTAAATTTAGTATCTCTTTTGTTAGTTTATATCCAATAGAACAGGTTTCAATAAATACTCGCAAGGCATTATCATGCGACGAAAATATATTAAATGCAAAATTCTCAAGTACTTTGCAGCTACTGTCTACTCTAAAGCGCGCTGAAGAAAAACCTATATTTGATCTACTCGACACCCAAGAACTTATACTTAGGGTTGAATTCATCAGTACAGGCTTTCAGTGTTCGAGCACAGCTGTTCAAGAGAATTTGAATCGTGGACACAGTCAACCTATAAACAACTTCAATTGCTCTTATGAACAGGAAAAGAACTCATTAATAATTTCTTCAGTTTTACCTCAGCATCTTGTTACTCTGCAGCTTACGCTAACCGGACCGTTCTTCGTGGGTGCACTGCGCATATGTCTATCTGGCCCTGAAATACAAACTCATAAGGGGAAATACACGGTTAAACACTTAGATTTTTGTCAATTTCTATATCCATCTGATCAAGTATTAACCGTAGAACCAACCATAAGTATTGAAATGACTAGGATTATCAATCGCACGGATAGCGTTATAGATAAGGACAATACGTTTTCTGCTATATGGCTACCAACACTAACGATGAAAAGTGCTTTGTGGGACTCACATATATACAAGAACGATCAGGATGAATACCGTCGTTCTTTGAATTGGCAGGTTGCTCTTGTAGTAGACTTTACACAATCCAAATTCTATATGCAGAATGTTCAAGAACCGATCGCACGTGGATATGAAATAGTCTTCAAAACAATTCTTTTCTCAAGTAAGTATACACTTAAACACATTGAAAAATGATGAACGACTGAAAATTAGCTATCGGTTGAGACTGTTTTCAAGATTTTATATTGTATAGATCGATTATTTAAATATTTCTTGATAAAAAAGCGTTTCCTTTTTTTTCAGTGTTAGTTCTCGAACTCTTCGGCTTATTATTTCTGATGTTCAAACTTCTTATTATTCCGTTGGTACGATTTATTCGACGAATCACTTGTCCATCCTTAGCATATAAGCATGATCATAGCAATATCCAGACGTCAAACAATGACGATAACTGTATTGAAGATATTGTTACATCAACCAGAAGCATGGATTGTAATTGAAAAGAACTACTACGACCGCTTTTGACTCTTCTCAAACTGGATGGCATTATGAAAAATATTTCTATATTTTTATTCTTCTTTTATAATGGCTTTTAATGACAAAAGATTATAAGAATAACGATTAGAATTGAACATTATATCGCAATAAAAGGAATAAAATTTATAGAGTTTAACAAAACTTATTACAAGTTATCAATAATCATAGTGGCTTTTCGACAAATACAGAGATTTAGTAAGAAATAAGGGTACGGGATCTTGCCGGATCCTGATGTGCTTTGTTGATCATTAAATTCCTCAACAATATGAGCCAAATCCAACAGAATTCATCCAAATTCCAGTATCAGGACTTTGTGTTATGCTAATGTGGTAGAAAAATTGACTCTTAATCAAATGAGTCCCGACGGATCCTGAAAGTTAACTTAAGTTCTCATAATATCCATCTTGAGGGTGTGGGTGAGGGTGTAGGTGTGTGGACGTGGGTGATTGGAATCGGTGATCGGCGGCTTCATCCCCTGAGTTGAGGATTTTAGTGAAGTTTAGTCTGTAGTTCGTGTTGATTTGTGTATGATGTAATATGAAGTTGATGTTGGGTTGGGATGGCTAGGAGTGGTGTTAGAACGCAGTTGGAACGGCTTGAGTGTTCCAACTTTTATTCAATTGTAACTGATCTTAGGAGTAATGAACGAACGAGAAATGATCGTACGTAGTATCGTAGCTGAATGCGGTGAAACCGAAAAATAGAGATATCAAAAGATACATTAGCTAAATTTGTAGGTGTCGAATGTAATCCTTATCCGTTACGGTGAACCTATTAAATCTATGGAAATTTGGCAAAGACAAAGAAATAAAACTTCGCAAGTAATTGATGATTATCATTGGTGTTCGTAGTAAATTTAGATTAATATTAAAAAAATTCTTCTGTAGTTGAATGTTTGTTCCAGTTGGATTCATAAATCTGAGTTACAGTTGCTTGTTCGCAGAGTTGCCTATTTCTGGATAGAGTAGCGAGTGATCTCGTGGTAGTGAAGTTGATGGGCTGAAGTATGTAGATGAGGGTGAGGATGTCTGAAAAGAGATACTGACTTAGAGGAGACTGAGATTGATGATTGACGTTCTCTATTTTTGATTCTTGTGTATGCTTCGTGGCGTGTTTGATATGTTGTGTATGGTTGTGACGTTGTTCGATTGAAGTAGCCCTAATGCTTATTGTATTGCGTCATCGTTTCTTTCTTCTTATTGCATATTGCATTGATAGTATAAAATTGAGGTTTTTATATGCCTCTCCAAAAAGAGTAGGAAAAATTCAGTATTTTGTTTTCGAAAGTTACTAAATATATCCGCGCAAAAACATTTGAATTGTTTCTTCGTGCATAAAACTGTTAGATGAATTTGTCTCACACTTGGGACACGAAAAAAATATCTGTCCTCCACAGTCGAGGGTCAAGTGAGTCGGCACGAAGAGCGCTACTTGTTTTTTATTATAATACAAAAGGATAAACCATATCATGTCGGATTCGATTATAAATATTTAGATTAGAGAAGAATTGAAAAGTTATCTTTTGGATACAGAGAATATCTAAAAATACAAAAGGTACGTATCCTTATTTCTGATTTTTCAACATAGAAAATTCGAAAATGAGTCAAAGAGTAAAGTGCAAAACCGGTCAGAAAATATTACTAATATATATTTTGCACTTTCTTCTCTAAATCATCATTTCAATATCATGACCATGTGGGTGAAATGAACAACATAGCATCTATCTACTTTCTATTTAAGACATGATACTTTCTTGTTACTGATGATGATGTAATATACAGACGTAGACTCACCTTACTGACGTTAAAGAAAAAACATGTAGGCGAGTATATTGTTTCTCCCTGCGTCACATAGTTTTTGACGAAAAATGTATTTAAACGACTCGTCTCAATTCAGTACGAACTATCAGAATAAAGTATGCATTCAAATAGAATGATTTTCTAATTGATATTTAGGTTAAAAAAAGACATCAAATCCAATTAATATCAATAGAAGTATTTGATTCAATTATTAATGGCATATAAAAATCTTACATTCGATACCCAATGGATTTGGCAAACAAATTTGAATTCATTTTCTCCATCTGAACAAAAAGAACGGAGTCATTATTCCAAACGATTCTCTGAAATAATTGAAAAACCGAATGAAAACAAAGAACATTATTTACCTTTCTCGGATCAGACTGCAGATTTAAGAGAAGGTATACAGAATAACAAGAATGATTCATCAAAAACAAGATCTGGAAAACAAGATGAGATTAAGAAAGGTAGTTCAAAAACCTTCTTGTTTTCGAAACTATTAAATATCACATATTTCAGAGTCATCACTTCAATTGAAAGAAAAACTCGGTGAAGGAGGATTTGGTATCGTTTATAAAGCTATTTATCATGGATCGGAAATAGCTTGTAAAGTGGTTGATTCCCGATTATCAAAAAGAACGACAAAAGAAATAAATATTCTTCAAAAACTTCATCATTCAAATATTGTTCAATATATTGATGTGATTTATACATCAAAACAAACCTTTATTATTATGGAATATATTAACGGAGGTACTTTGTACGATTATATTAGAAACACAGCATATTCAAATCAGTATTGGACAAATACTCATACAATGATGATCAACATTGCCTATGCAATGAATTATTTACATGAAAAAAATATTGTTCATGCTGATTTAAAATCTGATAATATTCTATTAAGATCCAATAATATTGCAGTTCTTTCTGATTTTGGTCTTTCAAAGATTATTAAAGATACACAAATACTATCATCTACTTATGGAAATACAGGTTTAAATATTTCATAGAAGAAATCAGTTTTTATTTGAATTGAATTAATTTTAGGTGCGTTAAGATGGCTTTCACCTGAACTTTGTGCTCACAATCGAGAGCGACCTTCATATTTATCCGATGTTTGGGCTTATGGATGTGTTTTATTGGAAATAATAACAAAGAAAGTACCTTGGGAAGCTATCTTTGAAAACAGTTATGATCTTATCGACGCTCTTGCTCATGCGAAAAATGTCAAAATATTTGAAAAGTTCTTCTTTAATCTTAAAGCACCAGATCATTTTCATAAAATGCTTCGTTCTTGTTGTGCTTGGTCAAAATATGATCGACCGAATTTCGTAAAAATCATCCGAGATTTTCAAGAATCCACAAATACGACTAATATTATTCCCATTCAAACCAATATAACTTTGCATAAACCTCGAGTTTCAAATGTTCAACAACATCCATCTTCACGAAAAAATCATTATCAACAACAAAAATATTCTTTAAATAAAACTTTATACAAATTAGAAGAAGATGCTACGCGTTATCCAAGGTGCACCAGAAAGACATCACATTGTATAGCTTCACGAAACATGTCCGATGACGACGACGACGACGATAATGATGATGATGATGATGACGAGGATCTTTTTTAACAGGAAAGAAGTAGAAAAATTCAATTCTAACACCACTGTCAATGGCGTCAAACGTTAACCTTTCTACGAACTTTTAGAAATATGTACGTTTATTTCGAAAAATTCTGTGACGAATTTCATGGACAGAAATAAAAGGAAATAGTTTGATTGTGCATGCTTATTACTCATTTGTAATAGAATGAAAGTGTATTTTTAACATTGATTGATTGACGTATTTGTAAAACAATTGAAAATAAGTTGAATATCAATTGATCTAATTATTCATTTATATCTAAATTGAAATTGTTTTAATTCATCGAGAATACATTTTATATACATATATTAGGATGAGAATATTATTTTCAATATCGGTTCAGCTTAAAAAGTTATTTTATATTTATAATTAGCTCATTTGTTTTCTCTAATAAAAAATCAATATTTAATATTCCTTACAATGAAAATCTTAGAAAAGAAATAAGTAAATACCATGTAAGAGTTTTTCTACATAGAAATAGTTAAAATAAATACAGCCTCTTTCTCAATAGAATATGATTTTATCAAAATGGCGACAATGCTGATAAAATTTAAAATAATTTAATAACATTCCTCTTTCTTTTTATTAAGAAAGAGGATTGATCTGTTCGTTAGATGTCATTTCATTCGTTCTAGTTTTATATTTGTATATGATAAAAGAAAACTCTTAGATTTCATCGAAGATATCCGGCTTTTTAGTTCGAAATCAGGTATTAATTCTAATATAGAACTGGCAAATTCAACTGAAAATCTTCTATGTAATGTTTTTCTATTCAATCATTCTATTTCTCGTAAATATTCATATAATTCTTTTGTTAAAAATTTTGAATTTTATCAAAAGTACTTCACTAGCAGTTTTATAAGTAAAAACAAATACATAATAACTTCAGTTACTACTTGATATTTTTTTTCTGATGAGATTCGTTTTATACATGAACAGTTGGATCGTTCTTTCAATGAAAACGACATAATGTTCATAATATTTATGTATTAACTTGACTTTATAGAGAAGGCATTTTCTTTCAATATTTTTATGCTTATAGAACACGTTTTTAGATTGAGAAAAAAGTTATTTCAGTTGAACGATCTGATCATTTGATAATTTGTCAGAATGTTTTGCTTAAACCAACTTCGCTTCCTGAAACCTTGTGAAATTAACGCCTAGTCGTTTGTTCGCCTCTCTCCGGTCGACCACTCACGACTAGCCGTTACATGTACATTTTCTTCTATTCCTTCTTGAAAAGTGACCATTTTTGTGCTACTGTGACTCGAAGGCAACACTTGACAAACGAAACATTCTTTTCAGTGACCGGCATCAGGTGATATTCGTATAGTATAGCTGTTTATAAAATTGTGTGATCTCATTAATATGCTGATGACTATGGGGATCCAGTAATCGGATGTCAGTCAGCTACTAGATTTAGACCTACATATTGCCGCTTAGAACACTATCGTCTAAAAAATTGATCCTTTGTCGCAAAAAACTAACCTCGAATTCGAGATCCTCGACCTCGATTACCTCATCCGTGGCCAGTCTTTGATGACTATAGATGAATTTCATTGATTTATAATATACTGCAATCTGATTGGATTATGCAAACAAAATTTTTGCACTTTCATGACTGCATTTATGAAGCTATAACCCTTTCTTTCGGCAAAGGGAACAAAACTTTGTGATTGAATGAAAGAATGATTAACTAAAAAACTCCACTTTAATTTTAAAAATTAAAAATGAGCAATAATAAAAGATATTAACTGATTGAAAAAAAGATTATTCATTAACACGCAGTGTGATCCCTAAATAAATGAGATGAGACGAGACAATGTACACCTACACCCTCAACAGATTTTCAATCGTACGCGATCTAGTGGAATCACTGGTGTGAGGCGCGTCGACTTGCTGTAGTTAATACGATGAAGATAGATAAATGTTTTGCTTTATGAAGACTTCTAGCAAAATGAAGCGACTTTGTCTTTTTTTATCTCTCTATATGCTTCTGTCACTCTCGTATTGTTAACATCTGTTATCTGTGTAATGATGATGGAAGAAGTAAAACTCTCTTGCGTATCATGACGTTGCTATTTTTATTGTAATATAAAAGAAACTCGCTCGTGCCTTTTCATTTCATGTTTGGTACAAGATAATATCAGATTCTTCGTTAGTATAGTTGATCTCTGTGCCTTTCGTGATTACCTACAATGAATCCAAACTTAAAACATCTCTTGCTCTTGATTGTTGCCATATCATTCAGAGGGCCCGTTGCTGCTTTCTTGTTGGGGTTCGTTAACATAGCAATCGGTGAACTGATCATACATAAATACATATTTCATGGACACTGGAAAGTATCAAAGGAGACACATATACCGGATGTCACCACTCGAAATCCATTCATCCTGCTTCATAACCGAATCATGAAGTTTTTCAACTCTATATTCCATCCCTTCTATGTTCAACATTGGTTAGCTCATCATAAACATGTTATCATCGACACGAAACACATTGGTGAGCATGGAGAATGTTCAGAGCATCTCCGACTTAAAACACTAAAACAGTATCCCAAGAACACAGCGGCCTTATTGAATTCTTCCATGGGTATGGACGGAAATATCTATGGGTTGATTTATCAATATGCACTGCTTGTCTTCACTCCTCTGCCATACTGTGGACTTGTATTCTGGCATGACAAACCATGGTGTCTCCTTACTTATCTAATTCCTTCATTACTATTACCCCTTTCCACTAGTTATCATAAGTATCTGCATATGTCTGATGTTTCTCGACAAAAAAAAATTCCTTGGTGCTTTCGATGGTTACTGTCAGAAGCCGGGGATCAAGTCGTCAAAAAACATTTCATGCATCATTACTTGAACAATGATTGTAATTGGAACTTTATTATATTTGCAGATACGATTACCAATCTGTTCGACGGTACAAATTTGGAGCCAGATGAGAGAACAATAGGATATATGAAAAAATTGGGATTAGAAATGGAATAAATCCTAATACGATTTTTTCTTTTTGATCTTTTTATTCCAATTCGGATTCAAGAAAGGTTAAATCAACTATTCTCTCCATAGTTGTAAAAAGTTCTGATAGTCTTGCAATCTTTTATTATTACGAGTTATTTAGGAGCCACTACGCGAGAGAGACAACCGATCGTTAGTGAAACATCAACGGCAACATTAATAAGTATAGCAACAGCTCGACGAAATGGACATGTCAATGGTTCACAATTATTTGGATATGCATCGACAGAGACACGTGGATGTCTGGTCAAAGCATTTGATGATGATTTTCGTATGAAAATCGATGGATTGAAAGTAGCAATGCAAGAAGATCGTGAGAAAGGTCTTGTTCCCTTTTGTATTGTTGGCAAAGCAGGTCAATAGAATAATGAGAGAGGATTGTGTTGCTAATTATTTCTGCATTATCTAGGGACAGTGAATACAGCTGCATTTGACAATCTGGTTGAGTTATCTGCCATTCGTCGTGCTGAAAATATTTGGTAGTTTAGTTATTCTTGATCGTGAACGTCGTCATCTTGTCAAGAGAATCGAGCGAGTTTATTCATTCACTTGTATTCGATTTTCACAAATAGTTACATTGTCCATATGCGATGCAGGTTGTGTTCTCATCTTCAATCGACATTTGGCGTTCATCAGACTTATTTGATGAAGACGATCCGAGATTTTGCACCTGATGATCTGTGGTTTTGTGGCCTAGGTCCTGAGTTGTCTCGTTCATTTCGTGCACTGAAAGTGTGGTTCACATTCAAAGAACATGGTATTGACAAACTTGGGCAGAAGATCGCAGACAATTGTGAGCAAGCACAATACTTTGCTCGATTACTTGAGAAACATGCAGATATCATTCATGTTCTTCGTCCTATCACATTGAACACTGTTAATTTTCGAGTTATACCAAAAGAACTGGATGGAGATGATCATGAAATCATTGATTAGTTCAATGCTGATCTAACACAAGATGTGCAAATGTTAGGTGTGACTATTCCATCAACGAATCGTATTGGAAATCGTCTTCACATTCGTATTTGTGTTGTCAGTCATCGATGTGTTTATAAAGATTTTGATTCATGGGTTACAAGTCTCCTCAAACTAACTCGACAACGAATTGCAAAGATATCAAATACAATAAATTCGAAATAACTTTAAAGTTGTTAGTGTGTTCAATAAATTTTTCTTGTCGTCTGTTCAGAATGGAAATCGTTCATAGCTAAGTGGGATGTGTTAAGGATCGTCGAAAGAATTGTTTGAATAGTTGATAATATGCTTGTGATGGTAAAATAAAAACGAAGAAAATTGAAATCGATGGAATAAATGGAATGAAATAAGAAATGAGATACAAAAATGAATGACGATTAGATTTCATACACATCGAAATGTAAATGACATAGTAATACGAAATAATGCACAGAGAGTCAATGCAAAAGCACCAAGAATGAGATGTTTATGTTCATTTAGTTCAATACGAAAGTATTACCAACAGCTTTGATTCTTTGAAGAATTGCTCGACGTCGAGCGATCATACTAATAACAAACAAAACAGAAATCAGATAAATAATACTGAGAATGAAATAAAAGATGTTCATTGTCGGTGAATATTCGACAACACACCAAATTCACTATTCAGTTTTATCTTCAATTAATTCTCTCGATAAATCGGATCATAAATAGATGAACTAATAACAATGAGACAAACGAAATGAGCGATTTTTTGCTCTAAATTTACTTTTGATTTAATTCAAAGAATTACAATTGCAACACGAGTATTGAAGCACTCTCCAATATTTGATCAAAATCCACGAAAGAAATTGATCGTTTTGCAAAGAATAAAAAGAAACGAATGATTTGTAATCAGAGACATTTGTGAGAAAGTAAGAAAGAGGAACTTGGTTAGAAAGACAATCATCGTAAATAGAGAAACAATTGAAGATGAAAAATGATCGATATCACAATGAGTTTAAAAGGTCTTTGGTTGAAATACAAGAAGAGATAAGGTGTGGATGAAGTTGTAGAAGCTCGCAACTTAAAAATTCGAAAACTCGAAGACGGTTTAATACTCGAATCGAGTTAACGATTTCTACATTACTCAAGGAATATGTAAGTCAAACTAATGACGAAATTCAAGATGAAAGAACAGAGTAAAGAAAGAAAAACATTATACACGTGACGATAATAAGCAGAGAAAGTTAAAACGTCGAAACAAATCAAATGGGTACAAACAGGGGACACGACTAATTATTAATATTGAAAATTAAAAAAAAACTATTTTAAGACGCCACCTAATGTTTTTTTAGAAAAGGCGTTTAAAATTTCTAAATAAAGAAATCGTAACCATCGAATTTTCAATAAGGAAGTACGTTTCATCAAATTTTCTCACCTGTTATCATGCATATACGTATATGAAATATTAAATGGTGGTAATTAGCATATGGTGTATACATTTTGGTTAGGGAGTTTCAATATACAAGTTTATTGATCCGCGTGAAGTATTTCAGCTGAAGACTGTTTTTTGTTTAGTTGACAGAAAAGTAACATGCGATGACTAATACGAAAACAAGCGAACTTTTTTCTCCCTCTCCCATCGCAAGCGTAGGTAATGTGTTGACTGATTTTGAAATATCATGTCACTTCCTTTGTTTATCTGCATGATTCAACATTGCTCGTCTTGGTAGAAATAGCACGAAAGGGAAAAAACCAATACTCAGCTATAAAAGGAGCAACACTTTCGATTGTCATTACATTGCCTTTCCTTTTCGATCGTTTTACATATTCATATGTGAAGACATGTCATTGGAAACTGAAAAGTAGGTGAAAGTATGAATGTAGAAATATCATACACATTGGCAACTGCTCACCCTGATCTATAAATGCATATATCATTCGAAACGGTATTTATACTTTTTAGATTTGATTTATAAAATGACTGACAATAAACATATATTAGCAAACTCTGCCAAATGCCCTTTCAGCCCTATGTCTGCGAATGGCTGCTCCTCACCATCGACACAATCTGCTGATGGCGCTGAACTCCTTTGGAGTCCACAAATCAATTCAGTCGAATTGCGAAATTACCAAACAAATCAGACGACTCAAGTCACTGGGCCGTTTTCAAAAATATACGGTGATTGTCGTCATCATGTTTGTACATCAACATTTATGGCACTTCCGGCACACAATCAACAAAAGCAATCGGCATCAAAGATGATGATCGATGAAATCGAACTCAAATCACCCGATTACATTCGAAAAGAAGCATATGATTACATGGCCATCTTTCACAATGAAAATAAAACATCTGATGCTGATTATGAAAGACGATTACAGCAAATCGATTTGGAACTTACAGAAACTGGCACATATAAACAAACAAAAGAAGAGCTAGAATATGGCTGTCAATTGTCATGGAGAAATGCAGGGCGGTGCATCAATCGATTATTTTGGCGTTCACTTATCATCATTGACTGTCGTCATGTGAAAACAAATGATGAAATGTTCAAGGAAATCTGTGATCACATCCGTTTTGCATACAATGGAGGAACATTACAAGCATCATCACTCGTCATGAANCGATTCACCTCGTTTGCACCAAACAATTTGATTTGTATTTCTTAGACCAATATAACATTCATCTTCAAAAATGTAATTTTTCCCTCGACTGAAAGGAGGGTCATGTCGAAAAAAGTGGTCAAAAAACGGAAATTCGTTTGTGTGTGTGTCTGTCGCAGGTCAAAGGTCAAAGATCAAAGGTCAAAAGAACATTTTCTCCAAAAACGCTCGAAACTTCATAAAACATGGTTTGGGACGGTGGTTGAGGATTGATGTTGACAGGGGGGGGTCGGGGTTAAGGGTCAAAAAAACATTTTTTCGAAATTGACCAAAACGTCAGAAAACATGGTTTGGGAGTAGGGAACCGCAAAATCACTTTTCTGTGATCTTGGTCCCGCTCTAATCCCGTGAAAAGTTTTGCAGTCCCGGTCGCGGTCCCGATCGTCATAAAAGTTAAAAGGACGTTATGCAACTGTACATTTGTTGTTCTAGAAGTAATACGAAGATGTTTATTTTTCATCGAAGCAGTTCTTTCAGATTTATTTTCAATATCCGCAAAGGATTAACGCATTTTTCAAGAAAAAAAATCAATTACTAAAATTCTGTTTCAAGAAATGGCAAAAGAAATACAAAAAATTTACGTTCAACTAAATAAACACTACTAGTTCATTCATCTTATTCTTTAATATCATCGACAATACAGTCACTATCACTATCGCTACTTGATAAGGTATCATGTGGTCGTTTTTTACTTTGATGAGTTGTTGACTGTAAGCTATCATTAAAATTATTTAATTTGTTATTTGTACCAAACAACTTTTTCAAACTTGGTAATTTTTTTTTAAACATAAGTTTATCTACTTTTTGAGTTGATAATCGAGTTCTTACACTAGTATAACTGTTTTTTCCACTAGCGGAAAATAAACGTTCAACTGCTGTATTACTATCAGGGATAATGAGAATTTCAGTAGCAATTGAATAGAGAATTGGATGTGAATTCTTATGTCGTGTCCAAAAAGGTAATGGATCCTCTGTACCGATTATACTATCATGTGATTGTAGATAACGTTTGATTTCATCATTTGAATCAGCTACAGTGTTAGATTTAGAAAGTTGATCAAAACAACAACTTAGAAAACTATTTCCGTCGTTTACTGTTGAAGATTGTGCTTGTTGTTGCGGTAGAAGTTGACTTACGAAGTCAACTTGTGCAGCTGTTGAAGTAACTTAGAAAGAAAAATAAATTATATAAGAAATGAGAACAAATTCTCCATTTTCGTTCTTTAATATTAGATAATATTTACCATGTCATTTGTTAATTTCTGTCTTCAATAGATCATAAGCTTTTTTCTTATCTTTACTTGTACAAATTTACAAATGTTTCATGCTAGAATGCAATACTGTAGCCATGTAGTGAACATTATGAAGTTCCCAATACGATGGAATTTAATTTTCAAAATATTTTTTGAATTTTTGTACTGATTCGAAATCATTTGCATTTGATGTAGATAAGTTTACGAGACGTTGTTTAAATGGTAATACTAAATGTATTGTTGATGTTTTTTCGGCACTTAATAGTTCTGTCACAGTAACAAAATGTTCCAGATATTTAGCAAAAGCAATTAATTCATCAAAGCCAGTTTGTGCGAAAATTGATTTTCAATCTTTGTCAGTACTAACACAAGCTAATTCGGGGAAAACATCAATAAAACTGCAAATCATAGCATGTGCACTGTTCCATCGAGGTTTTGAAAACAACTGCAACTTTTTGGACAATTTCGACTGATTAGAAGAAGATCTCAAGTAAACGACGATATCATGAATATTATTAAATAATTGTTGAATAACATCACAATCAATATCTTTTTTGCACAGTGAATGTTCAATAATTTTGTTGATAAAATGTGCTGAACAACCAATACGAATAAAAAATGTCACTTCTAAATGACGCACGCATTTTATTTTCATTATCACTGACAACATATTTCACTTTACTCAAATCTAAATCATATGATTCAAGTATTTTATCTGTGAATATTCGAATATTATACTCTGATTGACTTGGTAGATCCTTTGGTTTACAAGCAAGAACAAAAACTTGAAAACCATGTTCTTCTGTAAACGTATGTATGGTTACACCACCATAATGTACTTTGGTTCTTTGTTCACACCAAAAGTCAACAGTAATAACGTATTGGTTCATTGTTAATAGGTATGATTTCAATTATTCCTTGCGAAAATCGTAAATCTTATCGATTTGTCGATTGATCTTAAATTTTAAAAACAATGTGAACAAATAAAGACGTCAGAGAAAAAGAATGTTCCTATAACTTACTGTTGAATCATCAGGTAAAAGATCATTAATTGAAACACCTGGACCTAACTGACGACCAAGTTTGATTAACTTTCCAGTCAATTCCTGAAATCCTACACCATTAACTATATTGAATGGTAAACTATCAATTGCACAACATTCAGCTAATACATCAATGATTTTTCGTTTTGTTGAATTAATTAATCGATCTTGAACTTTTTTATCTATTGAACAAAATGATTTGATTGATTGTTGTGTTGATGATGATGATTGTTGCTTACATGCTTTATCATGCTTATCCATAACATTTGTTCCATCATTTGATTTCCACTTAAGAACAGATTGACATTTGATACATTAAAAAAAAATTTGCCCAATACTGGTACTTTTTGCATTCTTTGGCTTAATGAATTCTATAAGAACGTTTTTTTGTTTGATCATTTCTACAATTTGTTCTTTCGTATACGTAGTCGATGATGCCATGTTTACTATGTTTAAACAAATTTATTCTTTCTGTACATTTATATAGAGTTACCATTACTAGTTACCAAATATAATTGTTGGCATATATCTATTCGTTATTTTTGGAGGCAGGAACGAAAAGGAATGGTGGAATTATTATCCAACTAAATTAGTGTGTTTACCCTTTATTTGCAGAATTATCTTTGAAGCTGAGAGAAACTTTCAATTTTTCGAACATAAACGAATTCTGTTTGTTTTCAAAAGCAAAAGCAAAACGAAAATAATTTCTCATTTCCTAATTTAAAAAATTACAGGCAAAAGAAAATATCTGGTCTGATTTATGATAAATAATGTCACGGGACCAAACGAGTATTTTGGTCCCGTTGCAGTCCCGACAAAAATAAACAAACTGGTTCCGGTTCCCTAATAAGGACTTGTGCGCACTTCTGTCGAAAGAAGCCGAGTTGCACAGATAATTGACAGTTTCCTGCGAATTTTGTTTTTTTTTTGTGAAAATCCCTGTACCCCCTTTAGGGATGGACTTGTTAGTTTTGAAAGTTTTTACGGCAACTCAGCCATTTCTCTACCGATCGGTCTCCTCTTCGAACTCGACCGAGATATTGATGAGACGATGATGTGCAAAAAAAATCGTTCCATTGTTTGCATTTTTCATGAGTTATTGGATTAACGGACGGGCGGACATACAGATCGATTCTAGTAGTCTACTCACTTTTTGAGTACACAAAAATGTTTTTAGTGAGTTAAAATGTGCGCTTTTACGCATCAACGTATTTACTTTTGTCTGTCTTATCTTTTTGAAGCTGCACGATAGTAGAAAAATCATTGTTTATTTCATCTACTCATTTTTTGTGCTGTTTTACAAAGTGACTGTAAGTATCGCTTGATATATGAGGTAGCGGTTTGTGAAAGGCAATTATTTTCGTAACATTTTCTGAAAAACACTTAAAAAGATGTGCCACTATTTTAACGATATTTCTTTGAGCAGTCATCTTATCCCGAAAAGTTGCACAATTCCGGAATCGCTTGATCTACTGACATCGAATGTAACCTTTGATATGGTGATGAAGATGTAATTCCGGAATTCTCACGAGCTGCCTATTTATAGTTATAATATAAATGGACATACAAAAGCATTATAACAATTCGAATATAAATATGTTTATGTATATAAATATATAAATGGATAAAGCTGTACACATATATTTCATATATATGTTCATTTAGGAATACAGGAATAGATTTAGTTTCATTTATATAGATATATCAGTGATAGCAAACTCGAACCTTCAAATTGAGTCTTCAACTATCTTTTCGACTGCTCGAGTATTATGCTTGAATTATTGAACTTTTCAATTATTCGAGTATTCATCTGAGTGAGGGTGACGGTGCTCATGGGGTATCATTTAAATGAGGGTGCAGGAGAGGGTATTTTTAGGGTCTTTTCTCAGTGAGGGTGTGTGAAAGGCATATACGTACGTATATCTATATAAATGAAAGGAAATCTATTCCTATATTCCTAAATGAACATATATAAGGTATGTATATCTATGTATGGATGTATATGTCGTAGTAATCATTAAAATCCAGTTGAGTTTAAAACTGAACTAGTTGACATTAAAATTTGAATGACAACTAGTACAGATTAAAATTTTGATGTCAACTATTCATAGCGTACTAGTTGACATTAAACTATTTTGATCTCAACTAGGATAGATTAAAATGAATTTATAGTTAACTTATATCTAGTTCCTATTTTTTATCTTGCTTCAACAAAAGAACATAATACTCTAGTAATGTAGGAAAAATATTCAAAACAAAGAAAAAATAACTTATTTAGCAGTTTTTGCATTTTAATCCGTTGCCAACATGGCATTTGGAACAACATTTTCGACCATTCTTTTTACATTGACATCGCTTCGAAGTACAATTACCACTGCATTTACATGTATCAACTGATCTGAAATTGGTGTAAAGTTGGCATGCCTGAATGAAAGTAATCTTTGACAATGAATCGACATTAAGTTCTCGTAACATTGAAAAGTTCGCCGTTGTAAGATCAAGGAATGATGCTGATTGAAACTTCTCCTGGATGATACCATTCATTGTAGCAACACTATATAATTTTTCTGCATCTTGATCTTCGAAACCAATTATTTTACATGGAAGTATAGTAGAAGAAGTGTTTGTACGATCAACACTGGACACCTGTAAACCAACAATATCACCTGTTGAATAATTTCATTGTAAAAGTCACTCTTAATTAAATATTTGCTTTGTTTTTTTATGTCCATAGATTGAACGAATTCATCAACTCTCGTATAAAATACTTGTTCCATTATATCAATGTAGAATTAAATCTTTTCCCTTCAACTAACTATTTAAACAGTACGAACAAAGACTCACTTAGTTCAAAAGCATTCCTCTAATTTAATAATGCATAGAAGTTTAGTTTCAAAACATTTTAATCTATCCTAGTTGAGATCAAAATATTTTAATGTCAACTAGTCCGCTATGAATAGTTGACATCAAAATTTTAATCTGTACTAGTTGTCATTCAAATTTTAATGTCAACTAGTTCAGTTTTAAACTCAACTGGATTTTAATGATTACTACGACATATATATATGGAGATATATAGTAATTAACATCTATTTATATTATAAGTATAAATAGGCAGCTACTCGGAATTCTTGCATTTCCTACACTAAAAAAAGATATACTACGGAGTCCATCGAAAAGGTTCCGTAGTACATATTTTTCTTTAGTGTAGTCATTCCTACCGATTCCAGAATTCTGTTCAAGAATCGATGCAACCTTTCCCAGAAATCTTCTTGTTATCGCACACATGTTTCCCATCTGACAATTACCAGAAAACGCAGGAATTTTTACCAATTCCTATTGACTCCGTCTCAGATGCTATTCCAAAATTTCATAGCAGAATTCAATTGTATGTGAAAGGTTGTAAACTTCGCAACACAAGACAAGATGTGAGGGTGAGGGTGTTACTCCGTAACGGGATTTCGCAATTGTATTTGAGAAGGAATCACTAGATCTGTTAACACATAACCAAGTCTCAACAATTGTATCAATGCAGAATTCCTGCATTTCCTACCAATTCCAGAGTGTGCAAGAATTTCGGTTGGTAGCCAGTAACATTCGTTTTAGGTATTTTCGAATCGATGGAAAACCATTTCGGGTCGGAAAGCAGTGCAGGACTCTGTAAATTTTGGGAATAGGAAGCATTCTCATTCCTTTCAATGTTCGTTTATCTATTCTTCATCTTTTTTCCGAAAAATTTGTCTTAAGATACTCTACAAAATGGTGTACTTTTCATTGATGTAAACAACATCTATCATTTCTTAGACATATTTCAAACGAACAGTTCAAAGTGAAAGATTTTGTAAAACAACATTTCAGTTGTTTAAAGTATAATGAACTTCTCCTGTATTTGAATTATACCGCTGTTATTATTCATTTGTTCGAACTTGATCATTTCGTAAAAGAATTCGCCTTGACATCCCAGGTGATTATGGCACGGTCGGTTCCGGCCGGTTAGGTTCGTTTTCCGACTATTTCCTTGCCGCCGGATTCCGGCCGGAAGTTCAAACGTAGGTTCCAGTCATTTCCCGACCGTTTCCTGCAAACTTCGAGCTGGAAACGGTCAGGAACTGATCGGATATTTCCTGTGCAATTCCAGCCGGAATCCGGCGGCAAGGAACCTGTCGGAACTTGCTGGAATCGGCGAAAACTGTGTCGGAATCGAGAATAGCTGTAC